AAAGTTACTTGTTCTCTTTACATATCATAACACATAACCTTACAAAATTCTTCTCATCTTGCTTATTTCTTCCAAGAAAACTATTTTTCTCCCCTCCTCCCACATGCAAATACAGTATTTTTTCCTCATTACCATCATCATAAGCATGAATGAATGGATTTTCTGCTTGGGCTGGTAAATTTTCAAGACAATTTTGCAAATTTAGTGCCGATCCACACCCTTGAGTCAGTGCTTCCAGCATATTGCTTGTGAGAACTCCCACAACCAGGTCTCTGTGCATAACGCAATGATGCAGCCATGCAAACTGCTGTATAATTTTTCTTCTGGACAAAAATGCAACATAAATCTGTTTGTTCCATAAAAATAATTATAAAAAGCCATTTTCCTGCAACTTCCTAATCTTTCTACCTGTTATTTTAGTGATGGAAGACCATGTGGCTGGCTATGCAAATTTGGAGGCTTAAAACATGCAGCAGCATGAGAAATGAAGGAAGCTAAATTGGGAGAAGTTAAGTGTCATAAAAAGAACTTAAGATACATAAGGGTGGAGATTCATTTTCTGTAGTTTACAGCTGGGACTAGGTCCCTCCCCTGAAGGCACACACAACCAAAACTCCATCCCTCTGTGATTTAGTAACCCTACAATCAGCATCTCGAAGAAGCATCTTTCTGCTCTCTTTTAGTCTCTTCTGACACCCACACAGTATAGCAGAATGTGAATCTATGATGATACACATCGTCTTAACAATGTCTTTTAATTATTTGTCATGCTATACTTAAAATTCACATGCCTATAGTATATATTCTGTAATAAGAGTATAAAATATAGTATTTTATATTAGAAAATTGCTAAACAGTTGGTTTTAAAAATACGAACAAGACATGAGGTCTGACCTCGCAGTTCACCCTTCTTTGAGCAGGGGATTGGACTAGATGACCTTGGGAGGTCCCTTCCAATCTGTATTAATCTATTATCCAAGTTGAATTTGTCAAGCTATAGCCGTTCTGCATACTGAGCATATTGTCTCAGACGTTTAAGAACATGAATTACTGTAATAAGAAATAAGCCCTTTTGACAAAGGCAATAAAGAATTTAAAAAAAATTAGTTTAAACACACACCTTTTACAAAACAGAACAAAAATTTCATGGGCTAGCTGTTATCCAATTTCCAGTGGAGAAAAAAACCCAACACACTCAAATAACACAGGAATCACATACTGCATACCTAAGACCATCAAGCTGTTTCATTATGTCAGAGGTGGACTTGGATGCAATGTTGAAGATTCTGTACAACAGATATTAAAAAGCTATGATGTGGGGATCTATGAATGAAAGTGTTAGCATCAGTGTATTCAGAAGTCTGAAATAATTTCTTTTCATACTTGCATTCTTACTGAATATGTAAGTACAGCTAAGCTACCCACTAACAATCATTATCTGATGGAAACACAACGCATTAAGAACAAAGCAAGCCAAAGATCCATCTAGTCCAGTATTCATCTTCAACCACAGCCAAGTGCATATAAGCAGGGGAAGAAAAGGAACAAAGTAAGTATATATTGGTACTGTCTTGAAATAACTCCCAGTATCTCATGACATGCATCTCGGGCATCTCCTCAGCTAACAATTTTGCTTTTGTATTTAACACAATAAACAGAATGAGGTGAATAATGTTTGTCACAAGGACCCAGAAGGTTCCAAACCTCATCACTTTTAGGAAGACTTAATAATCATTGATAGTAAGGCTTCAATAAGGCTTTTGACACTGTCCCCCAAAACATACTCATAAAGAAGCTGTTGATGTATGGGCTGGATGAGTAGATAGTGAGATGGAATGAGAACGGGCTGAACAGCCAGGCCCAGAGGGTGTAGATCAGTGGCACAAAGTATTGCAGGTGGCCAGTAACTAGCGGTGTACCCCAGGAATCTATACTGGCTCCAGTCCTGTTCGACATCTTCATTCATAATCTGGATGATGGGGCACAGTGTACCCTTGGCAAGTATGCAGATGATACAAAACTGGGAGGAATGGCTAATACACCAGAGGTTTGTGCTGCCATCCAGATGGATCTCAACAGGCTGGAGAAACAGGCACACAGGAACTTCATGAAGTTCAACTGGGAGCAGTTGAAAGTCCGGCACCTGGGGAGGAACAAACCCATGGTCCAGCACATTCTGGGGGCCAACTGGCTTGAAAGCAGCTTTGCAGAGAAGGACCTGGAGGCTCCTGATGGACACCAAGTTGAACATGGGCCAGCAATGTGCCCTTGTGGCAAAGAGTGCTGATGATATCCTGGGCTGCGTTCGGAAGAGTGCTCCCAGCAGGTCAAGGCAAACAAACAAAAAAAGCACATACAATCCCACCAATACAAAAGAGTTGTCAGTTCAATCAAGTCACAGAGAAGAACTGAGACTTGCAAAAAAAATGCATTATTTTTCTCTAAGTATGTATATGGGGGGCATTTATAAACCTTATGGTATATATTAAGGCAAAAATTTCCAATCCTAGTGGTTTTAAGTTGAGCAGCCCTGATGTGATTCCTCCAAAAGGCAGCAAAAGTCTACTTCTAAGGCTGAAGCACAGACATTTGGACAAAAGCTTCATAAATATGGTAAGAATAATTCAGTATATTACAGTGTATCATAAATATACTATAGCAGTAGTCTAATCCTACCTTGCTGGTGGACACAAATCAAATTCTGTCACATAAACTGAATTTATAACATTGAAATCCTTCATGCTCTTCATATACAGATGAACCAAAATAATATCCTTCAGTTTCAATCCCTCAGAAGTCATATTAGCTGCAGGACAAAAATAATATAGCTGTTAAAGACAGAATATTTTAAATGCGTGTAGAAAGACCGCATAGGCATCCTGGTTTTGTTCAGCAAAACCAACTGGTAATAACCTAACAGTTGTCTAACCATGACTGAAGGCTTTGCAACATGCTACCTTTCCCCGCATAATATCTATTTTTTTCATGAAATTCTTTCTCATGTTAGTTTTGCAAATATACAGAAACAGAATACAGATAAATTTTATCTGCCCTGAGCAGTGATGAATTCTTGCCCCAAGAAAACATATCATGCATTAATGCATGTAGATATGTTACAGTCCAAATTCCTTGTATCCATAAGTTATATTACGCTCTATTTTTTTTTTTTTTTCAGTCTACAACAGCTAGTAATCTGTAAAGGACTTTGAATCACAAAGAACTGGAAAGGACAATAAGAGGTCCTTTAGTGCATCACCCTCTTCAAAGAAAAGATCAAATATTTATATGCTATTCCAGAGGGATGTTTGTCCAAGCTCTTTTTAAAAACCCTCACTGCAATAATAATCTCCACATAAACAAAGAGTTATAAATAGCAAGACAGACAACACGAAACAGAAATGGCCACAGAAGAAATAAAGGAAAGATGAGAGCAGAGGGAAGTTCAAGCAGACAGTTAAAGAAAAGATACTGGGAAGTCAGGATGATCTGAATGTGTATGCACAGAAGATTCCAGTCATAGCACTTAAGGAGAATGTATTACTCTTACATAGTCAATACCATAACAAGATACGCGAATCAGCTCTGCAGTGTGGACCTTTTGTAACTCACGAGCAATAGAAATTAAAGAGAAAATCTTCTCTGAATATAGAACATATATAATAACAGAATCCCATGTGACCTAACTTAAATGAGCTACATAAAGCTCTTCTCAGTGTAACTTTGGTGATCTTGTCCTTTAATGTCACAGTGTGTACCCGTATATACCTATATATTTGTTTTCCAGTGGAGCAGTACAAGAGTATAAAGACAATCTCTGTTGGCTGTTGCCTTAGTGAGAAACAAATACTTTCTGTGTAAAACTTTTTTGTGCTTTTAAAGACAGTTCAGGAGTTGGTGCACTTCCATAAAGGTTAGTTTGGTCACACCAATACTGAATTTTGCTCTAAATGTCTCAGCTTTACTTAGTCATACTGCCATTAGTGTTGGCAATCTGAAGTGGGGAATTCTCATTGACAGAAAAGGAAGCGTGCACTAAGTGATATAAGAGATTATATAGCAATTGACACGGAATTCCTATGAAGTCAAGATACATATCCAGAAGTATTTGAATGCTGCCTGATAGCAAATCACTAGGTCAATGCTATGTCATCAGTCAAGGAGGAAACAAGGACGTTTTTCAAATTTCCAGCCAGCATTTTAGTCAAGAAGAACGAATTCCAGCCTGCAGTTAAAAGTTCTGCAGCATTATATGGAATACTGGCTGGAAAAAAAAAAAAAACAACAAAACAAAACTGAACACACCCCCCCCCACACCGGTCTGAATTTAAAATGCATAAGCCAACAAACTAACTCTAATTTGTGGACATGTAACAGTATTAGAGCAAGTTAAAAGTAAAGAGATTTGGATAAATTAATCATTTCTAGCTTTATTTTAAAAAATCTTCTTAAAGTAAGTAAAAGTACAATCCCTTTTTCCTCTGCATGAATTAGAAGAATGATGGGAAATAATTTCTCCCTAGCTTGTAAGCAGAATAAAATTGACTGCCCAAAGCACTCTATCCAGTAGAAAGGCATAAATGATGAACCGGTTACCAACCCACCACTTGGGTTCTTGAAAACAAGTTCTGTTTCCCAAGGAGAGGACTCTTACACAGAACATCTCCAGGATGTACAGGGAAACCACACAGCCCTTCCGTCAAATTTCAAGCCATTCACTCTTCCTACTAATTTATAAAATATGACCAGCTGAGACTCATCCTTACTTAGGCAGAACTGCCTAAAAAGAACTGACCCAAAAGACAACACTGGCCGAAGTACAGCTTATTCTTTTTACAGGGGTCATCCAGGATCCTTAGACTGAGAGCCATAAAAGACAGCATCCAAACTGTCTACAGGAAGTAGCATTTTAGACTAAATTTTCATGTAATAAAAATCTATGTAGTTCCCTTCAAGCCTATGGAGCTTTGCCATGGTACAGCTGCAACAGAGCTGCTTTATATATAAAGCACTGCAATCTTTGTCGTCTTCCAATCATATCTAAAGAAAAGTTTAACAGAAGAGTTTAAGAAAATAAATGTAAACAGTAATGTACTGAATTTCCTCCTGTTCTTGGTTTCATGGGAGAATTCTATCTACTTTACAGAACAATCATGTTTTATTACATCTAGTAATAAATTTCCATTTCTGAATCCTTTTGGCAGCACTTATCCTCTTCAGAGGTGATTAAAGCAGTTAACCCAGCAAAGAGGTTAAAAGGACTGTGCTTATTCCATTCTCGCAGCACTGAAGACTGAAATGCTGTATAGATCGTAAGTATGAGTTCAGAAAAACCCTTGTGCATATTTACAGATCAGTTAAGTTCTCAGAAACAAATTCTTTCTTTTGCCATGACAAAACCATAATTCATTCAGTCTTCCACACCCACTTCCAAAAAAAGAAAAAATAAAGGAAATGTGAGAACTGACATTTTCTACCAAGGATCAGAAAATTACCTTTTTTTTTTTTTTTTTTTTTTTTTTTTTACTATAATACACCTAAATGCAAGTAATTTACTGAAAGGAACAGGCTACCGTACTAGTCAGAGACACAATCTTTTCTGACAGATGCTAAGGGAAAAAAATATCATGTTTGTACTGGCAGATTTCCATTCAAATATAATGAGAACAAAATACAACATTACACAACCCTTTTGCTTCAATTTACAGATTACGCCCAGAAGATTTACACTAAATACTATTGTCTTTTACTAAAAGTTTGATCACATCCACCTTGCTGATTTCCGAGCAATCAAAAACTAGCTTAATGACCTTCTACAAAGTATAACTTCTTTGCTTCTGAAAAAAATTCTAGGGCTCCTTTATCATCTATATTCAATCATGAATTGAATACTCAGCTGCACATGTAAAAAATAAGATTTTATAGGACAATACCTCACGCAAATTCATGAACAAGAATATGAGCCTACCCATTTAGATACTAAAAATTATTTCCATTTTTATGAATGAAAAGAAGCCTGTATAAACATGCTTTACTTAAAACTTAAACTTAAAAATAAATAAAAAACAAAAATGTGAACATTTTATTTTATGTCAGTATCTTGTAAGAGGGGGATAGTAAGGAACCTGGATTTCATGATCCCCAAGATAGCAATTTCTCCTTTGCATTAAGAATATAAATGAGATATACTGCTACTGACCTAATCCTAGATGCCAAAATGTGCAACAGCTTTCTAGAAAACTTAATTTAAAATTATGGTAGCTACAAAAGTGCTTTAGCAAGTAGACAGCATCCACAGCACACATGCACACTCACACACACAGTATATATTGCAAGAAAGCTATAAAGCAAGTTATAAAGTGAGTAAGTACTGTGGAAATAGTGTTGTTACAGTGATATGAACACTACTCTGGTTTTTCTAGGGTCTTCAAAAGCCAGTCAAATTATTGTGTTCAATATTAAAGCTGGCAGTCTTGATATCAAAGATTCCAATCAAATGTCAAATGAGATGGCAAACTGACAACCACAACATTTAAAGTTATAAAACTATATGACAATACATATTCTTACTTACTACCATATTAAAACCAGTATAGTTAACAGCAGATAATGCATTAACTGAATAAAGCACCTCGGAGAGAAGAAAATGCTTCCCTTGCTGCCTCTTGAGCATTTTTGCTTTTTGATGGAAGGAAGTAGGCAGTGATACCGGAAAACCACTGGTAACCACTCAGGGATTTTCCTGAGCTTCCAAACGTCTCAGCTATGGGAAATGAAGAACAGCACTATGATTACTATAATGAAAGGTTTCAGATTAACCTAGCATATAATTTAAATCGTTTAAGTAAGAAGAACGTCTACAGAAAAAAAAAAAAAAAATCACAAACTGTAAAAATGTCTTCAAAAAATATTTACAGACACACAGATACAAACCAAAAACTTAAAAGTAAATGTGCTGGTAACAAAGCTTCCAAATGCTACTTGACAAATCCTTCTCCAACACTGCCTTCAGAAAATATGCCTGCAAGTAGTATTTAGCTAAGAATTTCAGTATTTTCTCTACTCCTTTCCATTTTTGCTGACCTTTTGCAATTTCTCTATCTGTTCTTATACAGAGTTGGAACAAGACGTGACACTGAAAAGCTAAAATTTTCAAAAGTATGTAAGTGACACAGGAACAGATTTTCAAACTTATATGCCAAATTTTAATGGAAGTTAGGTGTTTAACGTGGTTCTGATCATCTTAGCAAATGCATAATGTGTTTAGACATTTTTTAACATGCCACCAGGCACTAAGCCATATTCCAGAGACTAAATACCATTCAATATCAAACACCGTTATGCTATGAAACTTAGTTTTCAGGAAAAGTTTACTAATCTTTGGGTGTAGGGTAACAGTGATGCTGTGGTACTTCAATGAGGTACCAATCTATGAACGCAGGTTTATCTTGCATTAATCACCTCATGTTTGAGGCAGTGTTAATATCAGGCATATGATTAGTTACTGCAGCTCACCTAAGAGACAGTAACTTGGTAGGCTGCTACACTTGATCATGCATGTCACCCTGAGGTTGCTTGGGTGGGGACAGACTCATACACTATGTAAGCAAGTTGAACGGTTGTGTTTCGTACTTCATTTTAGAGTCTACTTTTCTATTTTCAGTTTAAAAACAGTAGAGTATGGTGTAATTAGTCCTTTGAAATAAAACTCAGTCCCTCCACTTGAATGATTATATTATAGTAATTTCATTCAGGCAAACAGAACACATTAATGTGTGTTTTCTGAAAGGAAGGAACAAAGGAAGGAAGGATGGAAGGGAGGGAGGAAGGAAGGAAAAAAATGGGTTATGCTCCTTCTGTAAAATAACTTGAAATGCTTCATTACTACAGATCTATTGATTCCTATCAGAAAACCACATTGTAGTAGGATCTCTTTTTTCCCCAGACTGGTTATTAAAGGTCACGAACATTCTTTTCAGGAGTGTTCTTACAGTAATTAACAGCGTACTCCACCACAACATGATATATTCAATATTATTTTTCTAGTGAAAGCTGTGCAAGACTCACTGAAATCCAAAGAATTATGTTTCAAAGACTTCCAGATGACTGGAATGTTTTTCTGTGGGTCGTCCTCTTCTGACGAAGGGAAAATATCGTCATCATTGCAGCTTACCTCACAAGAACAGCTATTGACCATAAATGTATCTGAAGATTCTACCTGCTTGAGACAAACATTATAAAATAAGCAAGTAAACAGCATGCCAAGCAGTATGAAATCAGCACATATCATCATTGAAATTTTGGGTTTCAATTACAAAAAATACTATAGCTCAATGGGTACATAAGCTTAGAACAATTCATGGAAGAACAGCATTAGGATTTCCCACTATTTAGAATGCAGAAACTGGCAGAATACAATGTGCTCCTGTTGACATATCATATGGAATAAAAATGCAGACTAAGTAGTAAATAAGTAATGAATAATGATGGGACTCAAGATAAGAGACAGAAAGAATACTATGCCGAAGAAATGCTATTCCACAAATACGTACAGGACAACTGTGTTTTCAAAAATAGTATAAATTAAGTGAAAAAAGGAACAAACGTACAAAAGTAACAATTTCATAATTAACACTGTCATTAATCACTTGAAACAGAGAACAAGACTAACAAGAAAGTTTTAAAACTTTGTGGAACCTTGAATGAATGCAACCCAAAAAAATCCCTTTCTATTCATCTCACAAAGACTATCCTTTCCATCAAACTCACCACACTTTGGGATGTTCAGAGTCTTGAGATACAGAAAAGAGCATTTCCCAAGGTTTATACATCAATGTAATTTCTTGACAAGGAAGGAAAATAATTCACTGTACCTTCTCGTCTTCCCAAATGCTTTCTTAGGCCTAGGAAAACTACCCAGCACGTCTTTTAAAGCAAAATACACAGGCAGAATGCATACTGACCAGTCTTCCAAAATTCTGTGTTCATTATATTTTCAACAAGTTATGTAATTACAGCATATGTATATATTTTTTTAATTTTAGAGCAATCAGAACCCCTGCTCTCTTTCATCTGATGTTCCAAGGCAGCCTAATCTGCAGAGCATGTTGACTTTGGGATCACTAGCTTGGCTAGTCCTACTTGTCTTCATCTAAAACCAACACGAATTATGGTAGAATTTATCCATAAACCTTAACCAAACATCACTGCATGCTGTAACTCCAGGTTCTATCGATTAATTTTCTGCTCAAAGGTCTCAGATTTCATATAGTGTCTAAACTATGCATTTTACTGCAGGCTTCTTAAATACTAAATTCACAAAAATGATGATAAAGCCAAATAAAGCAAGATAAAAAGTTGACAAAATATGAAGCCTTTGGCAATCCTTAAATATGGATTAGAAACTGCTGAATATTCTTTTAGCTCACAAATTAGTGTACTATCTATAGAATTTCCATGCAAAATGTCTATGAAAAAGAATATTAACATTATACAGCAAAGCACTCATAAGGTCACCTGAAGTTTGACACTCTGCATTCTCTGCTTTTTAACAATCAGATTTCATCAAGCTGTCAAACAAAATGGGATATATTAAAAATTACGAATCAAATTGGAATATAAACTTTTTTTAAAAAAGTAATTTTATTGTATTTTTTCTTTTGTTTGGAAAATAAAACCTATCTTATTGCAACTTCAAGTTTTCTCTTGATATTAAGCAAAAAAAAAAGTGAGAAAAAAAGGCAGAAAACTATAGTATGCATCAGAAGTCTACAATGAGAACTCAGCATTTACCTCGATATTTGACTTCACTGGAGAGAAAAAGGATCCAGTTAAGTTAAAGCAGTGTATTTGGAAAATCTCAGGAAAGGCTAAATTACAAAAAGGTCATTACCTATGAGAGGAAACAGCTCTGCTGCCTCTAAAAGGGCTCAAGGGGAGTTTTATAAGCACTGTAAACAGTAAAGCTACGCTCTAAGAGGGGCTGATGTTCTTTGATTGGACCTCATTTTATTCATTCCTCCAAGAAAGGCATGGAAGTCAAGGCAATAATCTACTTTATGTGAATCAATTGTACATGAGAGGTTAAAAGAAGTCAACTAAATGTAACATAATAGCGCAAAGATGAAAACCGCAATTTAGCACAAACACGACATGCATTCCAACATCACAATATACAACAGCACCTATACCATTTCCCACTCACTGAATTACATCTTTGACTACTGCTGTCAGTTGATATATTTTGCCGTTACCCAGAGGGCTGCCTGATAGCCCCTAACCCTTCAGGTATGACTTAGAAAATAAAGAAGCAGGAACACAAACCTGTAATTGAAATAGATCTTAAGCTGGATTATGCTGCAAGAACCAAGAAAATTCCATTTTTTCTATTTTTTTTAAAGTTTCTACATTTTATCCATGAGATGTCGCTTTATAGAAATATACAGACTGTAGAGTGGCATAAAGTGCTAGAAGTGCTATCATTTCCTTCTTGCAAATTGTTGTTTTATTAAATTAGTTGCTTTCACTGGCTAATTTTTAATGTCCATCATGAAACAATCAATTTGCATTGTAACACAGGCATTCACTGAGTACTAAGGTAACATACACAGAGTTTGCACCTCTTGGTCCTACCCCCTGAGTAAGCATGCACAGACATGGTGATATGAATGATACCATTGCAACACTGCTTTGGGTTTTGGTTTTACATCACCTGGATTTTAACTTCAATATGGTATAACAATCCATCACTAGGCATAAAATATGTTAACTGGAAAGGGAAAAGTTCCAGCTTGCCAGTATGACAGCCACTTTGTTTTTCACTTTTGTTAAGCTTTACATAATTACCTTTTAAGAGATCTAGAGCTACAGGTATCTTCTGTAGGTACTATTAGAGACCTGTAACTTCTCTCAATTCCCTAACCTGGACTGAATTTATACGCTCTGCAAGTGAACATGAAAAGAGCACCTATTCCGTTTTTATGCCATCTGTGAAAATTGTTCTTTCAACTATGTTTCTAAACATGTTTTCTGCAAAATGTGCTTCATAAAAAATTCATGGGGATGTGGTGAGACTCACAGACTGTATCACAACTGGTTTGGTGTAACCTACAGAAATCCCCTGTAGCTTTGCAATTTGTTAATATTACAGATATCCCAAATTGATACCGCATGAAATTTTCATATCATCTGCAGTCACGTCCGTTTTTCCTAAATATGGCAATAATTTATAAATTGTTAAGCTTAAATCAATATTGCTTCACAGATATAAAGAAAATTATAGATCTGTGTTTACACACATACATAAACAGCTGGTCAGTTGCAAAATTTTTGGAAATTACTTAGAAATACTACAAATTCGACATTGTCTCTTCCATACACCAAAGACCGTAAAAATAAGTATAGACTACTGTTGATTTCAATGCCTGTGATACATCACAATGATTCATTCAAGGCTGACTCCCACAATGCTCCAAAAAGATAGGTAATGAATCACTTTCTGCAGCAGCACAGGTGCAGGCTACAGCAGAAGTATTAGGTGTGGAACCTGGCACTAGACGAACAACAGGCTCAATGCCAGCCTAAGTAGAGCTGCCAGACTCTGTTTAGTACCTCTATTCAAATCTCATACAAATGTTGGTCTTCCATTCCTGTCGACAGAGAAAGTACGCTAAGAATTTAAAACTTAAAGTTATAAACTGCCACAAACAGACTAACTTTCCCTGAATAATATTCTCATCACTTTAAAAACAAAAAATCAAGCTTGCTATAATGACATTTTAATTAAATCTTACAGAACCTATTCTATCACATAACATTTTCATGTTACTTCACAGAAGCAATATATTTTCCCATTTGTTACACTGTTTCTCCCACACCCACTGTACATTGTGATACCAACCTAATTTTGGATCAGAGCCTGCATGCATGCATATGCTTAACTATATTCACATAACTCATGTCATTGATGCAAGTGCGCTCAGAATGAAGTTAAGCAAATGCACGAGTGTTCCAACATCCAAATTCTCCTGTTGAAAATGCCTTGGAGCTAGGACTTTGACTGATATAGCTGAAATTCCATGCAGTGGTCTTTTATGAAAACAACAGATTGCCTTCTTAAAAAGCTTACATTCTCCACTACAGAAACTGGTATAAAAACCTATCACAACACAATTCCAAAACTGATAGTTCTCCCACTGAGCAGCAATGAAAATACAGTGGGGCAGAGAGCTCAGAAGACATAAGGAAAGACTATGATAATCTCTTTATTCTTTGTGGTGTACCTTGATAACAGAACTCCTTGAAATAAATATAATGAGAGAGACGGTATTTCAAGTACAATACACAGACATGTAGGAAAGTCCTTTACTCGGAAAGACTTTCAAATAAAGTCTTTCCATTATTGAAAGAGAACAAAAAATTCTCTTTTCTCAGAGAACTGGACTGAATCTGCAATCAAATGGGGTAGAAAGGAAATCCTTTACTTATTATCTTAGTGTTTGAAATAAATCAGTGTACGAAAAAAATTTGCAGAATTTGTTACCAAGTTTTGAAAACATAACTACAAGGGTTACCTATATTTGTATGATGCAGAAGGGAAACTAAAGGTTACCTAGAAGTATGATTCAATGATGACAAAGTACTTAAAAATGCCACCAACGAAACATATTTTGCAACTTGAAATTCCTTCCTGCTCCCCCTGACATCACTTTAAAAGTCTAATTCTACAGCTGAAGTCCTAAATAGAGATTAACTAAAATAATTCAGGCCAGAAAGAACTGGACAGAAATAGGCTACAAAGTTAAATCAACCTGATCTGCAGGATCATGCTCCTTTAGTACAGAAGGCATGTAAATATCTCCCAAACACCTTCTCTAACTTTTACAAGTGTTTTTAAGATCACCTCCAAATTGACCTGTGAAATAGATTTGCTGATGTTTAATAGGGGCATAACTGCTTGCACTACTGAAATGTGTTCCACCCAAACAGGTCAAGATCTTTCACAAACAGAAAAAACAAATAAGCCTCACAATATCAATTTATGATAGGTAAACATAATGCAATAGTATGCTACAAGAAAGAGCAGCAGCAGGCATGATTCCTGCATCTCTTACAGGCAAGCAGGCACCTTTCTTCTGCCAAATGTAGGAAGAAAACTACATGACTCCCTGTAATTCTGGACTATCCCTAACTTAAGGGGCTGCAGTTCCATAGCTTGTATTGTTTGATGTATGCGTGCTCCTAGTCACTGGAACTTGGGGAACAAAGTATTCATTATTCAATGTGGGAAAGAGCAAATCTTAAAGCATGAATGATAGCTAACATGTTCACTACTGTCATCAGAAGTATGTTCACATCAGCAGAAGCTCCAAGAGCTTTAATTCATTTCTGATCATTCAAAAGCCAACACAACTTAACAGAGTAACAGAATAGAATAATATGGGGAAAATAAAAATATTTTGCAAGTTCATTGTGCTGTCAGGGTAAAAAAAAAACTTGTTTCACAGTTGTATTTTTTCCTAATTGAAAATATTCAAAATTAAATTTGTATTTAATACAAAAGCTGATACACTTGATTTAAAGATTCTGGAATATGCTTCACAAATTGCCTCCCCCTCAACAAAAAACATTTAACATTTTAAATGTACAAAGTGACAGTCTTACTGGCAAAGTAAAATATTGATGAAGCTAGGTATCTGTATTATGTAAGTGGTGACCTTGTTTTTTACCATGAAGTAAATGAGGCATTCCCGAATTTTGAGCATTAGTGTTTTATTAGCATTATTATTTATTCTTAATGTTTTTGCAAAATGCCTACAAAAAAAAGTTATCTTAAGCTGTGTTTATCAAACTTTTAATAAAGTTTTAATAATAAAATCTTATATTTATCTCTTTAGCTTTTTCTATATCACTGGTAATGAAAGAAAAGAGGGTGTGTTAAAAAAAAAAAAGCTTCAATTATTATGCAAAAACACATCTTGAAGTTGCACAGTAATGTATTAAACCAGAAGAGTGAGTAAAATGTTATTTTCCCCCAGGCACAAGGGCTCATTTTGCTGCCAGAAACAATCTAAAACAAATTTCTACACAGGCTTTGTAGTTAAACATGAAGAGATTTAGCTGTAGAAAACGCATTATAGAGGAGGAAAGACAGCAGAGACTAAGGTACGCTAGCTATAATTGCATAATGATCATAAAAGTAAATTCAAAGAATGTAAAATTAACACTTGTGGCACATAACGAAGATAAAATGAATATACAATAAAAGTTAAAAATACGTGAATCTCTCAGCTGAAATGATAACAAAACTGATGTCATAATACTTATTAGAATTACACACCACTGTGCAGTCTATTAATGGTTTCTACAAAGTGCTTACACAAGTGGCTACTTTTACACATTGTTCATAATGGAGTATTTTTTGCCCAATTTTCAGTAATCCCTTGAAAGTCTGAAACTAAAATTAGTTCTCCTTCTAAAGCAGTCTTTCCCTGCAGTGCTTCATTATTGTAGGATTGGCTTTTAAGTGCTGAATTACTAACTGATACTTAAACTTTTTTTGTAGGGCTTGTAAACACCAAAGAGTGAGGAAAAAGTACAGTACTATAGGCATATCAATCTTGAAGGCACCTCCTTATCATTATGCAGTTAAACCGTGCTAACTTAGTAACAAGTTATGTTCTGAAAGACTGACTAGTTCTCCATATTCATAACTTCTTGAAAACCTAGTTTATTTTATCATGACATAAAATAATCTATAGCCAAAAGATTCTAATGCTTTTCCTTATGAGACAACCACTGCAGAAAACAGACTATTTTCCTTTTAACTATACAAGACATTAGTTTATATACCAAAATCCAGGGCAAGCCTCTGTAAACCTTACCCCTTTGAGAGTGTGACAGCTTTGTCTACAATGGATTTGAAATATGATTTACTACAACACTGCTTGAAACTGTGAGGCTTTAACCAAGTCTAAAGCATCTACATAAGAAGGGGAAAAAAGCTTCTGAACAGATAAAAGTAAAATCTTGATTCTTATATAAAACGTTATGCATTTTAATATGATTTTTTGCCTGATTTATGTAAAGCTTTGTGTTTTTCATTTTCCCTAGCCTGTCACATTGTAGTGATGCATGGTGCATTTTAGCATCAAGTTTGCCATCAGCAATAAAGTCAGTGCCCCCAAAGAAATATTACTATATCACTCTTCCCCACCATGCCCCGCTCCCAATTTTTCCTTTATTCAGCCTATTTGGTTTTGCTTCACATAGTTAGTTGATCTCCTTTTCGCAGTCTCCCACACAAATATTTAATGTTTTATTTTTGAAAGAAATCCCAAACTAGAATTTGACAGAATGAAATACAATTTACTTTCCAAGGCAAGAATGAGGCCATCATGGAAGAAAAATGTACAGATATTTTATCTGTTTGGAACAATAAAATTAAAAAAGAGAGGGGGGAAAAAAGGCATGATCTATTGAAAGAAATTCAGGAAATGTAGTTACTCAAGAAACATGAAATGTAAAATACCAATATAATAACGTTCTGTAACAATCCCTGCACCTAGAAGAGGTTCAGTGATCTTCAAAGTGTAGAAAGAATTAGGAAGACATATAAAAAGATGGCTGCAACGGTAGTTGGGAAGATCATGAAGCACTCTCTTCAACAAAATACTAGCACTTATAGATGTTCAGGAGGAAAAAAAAAAATCATTTTACCCATAAAATAATGAAAAGAAAAACAGAAAAGTGATGACAAATACTAAGAAAAATAACTTCTGTTTTGACCTTCTCAGCTCTGCTCGCATAAAAGTCTTCAATATTTAAACCATTAGAGTTCCTATTCCCATTCTGCTGTTTCCATGGAATCATAAGCTAAGAGAATGAATCCCAGTGAATTACTAATGATTTCTTTAAGATCTTTGACCAGGATAATCTCCTCTACATGATTTGAAGTCATTCATTAGATGTATCTTTCATATGGAAAAGATAAAACAAAAAACAGCACGTTTAAAACTCGAGCAGTTGTGGGTCAGCAAGTTTTTAAATCATCCACTTTACATCAGAAACAGCAAAAAGGGATGCCACCTCCCAGCAAATCCACACTGTTCATACAGTCTCCTAATACAGCTGTGTTCCACAGTGTGGCTAGCTGTACTACAGAGGTTACACATGTGCTTAACTGAACCACATTGGCTGAGTACCTTGAGGTTTCAAGATGAAAAATGCTACACAAATATACTACCTCCATTCATTCATTTGACACAAGGAAGCATTTGTGTTGAGTTTTTCCTTATGGTAAGTTCTGAAATTCAACTAAATATGTACATTGTTATCTGAAAGTACACCCACATGAGAATATGTTGGTTCATTCCAAACTGTGACAAAGCAACATAAAAATAGAAAGAATGCATATGGCTTTAAAGGAAGATTACATTTGCAATCTACTTGCCTTATTCTCCAGGTGTAATTTTAAAAAATGAAGGTAGGCCACAGGTGCAAATGCATCAGCCGAATGAACAACTACCTTGGCTGAATCTCTGAAATACAAAATTCTTAGCATCAAATATTAGTATGTAATTTTACATATAGACAATACTTAGTCACTGTATAACACAGACTCCAAGGTAACTCACTGAAAATCTGTTAATTTCTTATTTAGTTTTCATATAAGTTAAGAAAAAATAGTTTGCTATATAAAATCGTATTGTTGAACAACACATTATCTTCACTAATTTTCAGTTTTCAAAAGGAATAAACTATACTTCTAGACCAGTATTGAGAGATTCAGTCAGCTGTAGTCTATGAAAGCATAAATGACATTATGCTTTACATTCTAGAGACTAATATGTAAAGCAATCTTTTAATTTCATCAACAGGAGATTTTTTAAAAGTCTGTTCTTCTTGATTAATGCTCCAGGGATTAGTTCTTGAAGTATTAACAACACACAATATTTCACACTGAGAAACTGACTGATTCGACCATCTTGCATCTGATATTGAAGACTACTAGACACAACTTTTTAATGCCAAATGTGTTGGTAACAATGATAAACTTCCTGTGTGCTGATTCAAATTAGTTAATTTTAGTTTTCATTTTTACAGACACAATCTGTCACACTTTGATTCACAAGAGGCAGTATCTGTTATATCCATCTGCATGGTTTTACTACTTAAGAAAAAGGTAGCTCTAGGAAACAAACATCAGAAGGTGAGAAACTCAAAGAAAACATAAGAGAAACTCAGACACGGTACAAGAAAATCTGAAAATTGTTATAAGTAAGGCTAAGGAAACACAGATCATTTTCTTGAAAGCACAGTGCCCTTGATACCTTCACAGTATTCAATGCGATGAGACAGATAGATTTCTAGTAATGCCACATAAAAACCAGGCAAACTGGAAACAGTTGAAGTCTTGGCCAGATTCCACTGACTTAATGATAAGTGTAAAATTAATGGAAATATCTGTTCTATAAAATGTGTTTTGGGATTTAAAATAACAAAACTCCTAAGATCACCATCATCACTACATTGCACAATAAACACCTTTAACATAAGAAGCTCCGCTTCCCTTTTAGTAACCTTTTGAAGTATTTTGATTATTAAGCCTTCAGGCTTCATTCTTGAGAGTTATTATCAAGATTCTTTACGATTAAAATATCACTTTTTCCTTTAAGATATCTTAAAGATAGTCCCTTAAGATTAAAATAATTCTTTTCAGATGACCATGGTGTCTTCTAATTCTAACAGAAATAGGTAGAAAATAACTGGAAATCTTTAGTAACAGGAATACATAATTAGAAATAATAAAAACCAGACACCAAGACTCCAGTAGTACCTGTTACCTGGGTATCCTCAGTGTCTGAGGATATTCTCAATAAACATTTCTTGCTTGCTGTTCAAGTCCTATATGGGAAAGTCTGGTACTTTTCAGTGAGGCATTAACTACTTAAAACTAAATTAACAGAAAAGCTTATATCAGAAAGGAGAAACAAAAATTTAGGGTCATAAAATGTATATGCCTGTTGAATTTAAAGAATACCTAGTAACATTAAAAAATATATTTAACTCCAAAGTAAAAGAAGCAGTCCTACTTGTAGCCCTGCATGTTCCAATTCACTAGCACAGCAGAACAGATGCTAAGCACTGATACCTATGTTAACTGTTCAATAACTTTAGAATTTTTGAGTACTTATTTGTTGCTGAAGAACTACTGCAAATATTAAGAGATCATAAATATTTCTTCTCGGTAAGAAGTACATTCCTATGACATACAGCTAACACATGGGTATTTGATGGGACCATAATAAAAACCCAGTTTAATATGCCAATATTTCTCAGCTGATGGGTCACAATAGGTAGATTATGTGGTGCTGAAAATAGTATTACAATACATATCAAAAGAAAATATTTTTTCTCAACTATTTCATTTTCTGTCAGCCTCTCCAGACATACATATTTTTCTAACTGATAAAATTTATAGTCTTGTTCAATAGTAAATGTAAGGAATAGGTGAAAAGCAGAACAGTTTTGTTTGCGTCCAATGATGAATCATCCATCATAAAAGCCATGAAGTCCTGAACTTACCTGTCATGTCCAGCTTAGGAAATAGTAAAGAAAAAACAAACTCCCAAACCACATGAAAAGCAGAGATTAAAATGACAAACAGTGATTTGAGAGACCCCTATAATTATATAAAAGTCATTTCATACTGAAAATCTGAATTTTGAGTAGGAACATGACTACATATGGTGATTCATGTTTGATTATGATGGAAACACAGGAATTTTGAGGAACATTTTCAGAAGACTTTGGAAAACAATGAAGAATAGTTGAAAACCTTTCCTAATGATCTATTTTTTGAAATCATAATCATCTGATCTCTCAAGTCGCCCTGAAGATCTAGGAAATATCGAATCATTTTAAAACACTCTAACAGTTTGACAGGACAAATATGACAAGTTAGAGCAAGTCTGAGAGTACAATCAGTGCTCCCAGGACATGATTATTTTTTCATGTTTACAGATTTGCTTTTAACTCCAAACCTAGAATTACAAACTTAAACACAGAGCTAATGGTAAGGTATATAAATGCAAAATTATACTTCCCGAATATTTCAAATACGCCAATTTACCTGAAAAAAAATATCAAACTATTCTGTGTTCCATAAATACAAACGGGCCTTTAACATAAGAATAGATACTAGATGGTATTCACATAACTGAGAAATATATCTTTATGATTTGAAGAGGTGTCAATCAATTGCACTTTAAATACCAGTCTAAGAAGGACAGGAAATGCTTGGTACCTCTCAAATACTGGGCATAAGAAAGCTGACAACTGGATTACAATAGTCTACCTGGGAAAACCAGATAAAAGCCCATCTGCCTCTTGGTTGAATATTTTGATTGTAAGATCTTGCTTTCATTGCTAGATCTTGTTTAATCTCAAATATTTCACTCAATCTGCCATGCTTCCTTTGTGAGGCATATTTCTTAATGAAGATTGAGAAGAATGGCAAGAATCGATTTAATATTCAAAAGCAAAAATCATCATACAGTCTTACAGTAAAGAGACTCCCACTTCTCCATAGTAAGTAACACATCAAGGCTATATTTTTCTTTTCCTGAACTAGCAGATTTCCTTCTTTTTCAAAGGATATACTGTAGAAACATTTTGTCACAAGTTTCATGTGACAAAAACATCGACCAGTGAGAACAGTACCCGAAAGCAGTGTTATAAATTACAGGCGTATTATATTTTCTCCTGTTGTATTGGGTTTACGTGGCAAGGTTTTGGTAGCAGGGGGTGGTCCGCAGGGTGGCCTCTATGAGAAGAGACCAGGGGCTGCTGAGCCCATCAGCAACACTGGTGGAGCCTCTGTCATAACATATTTTAAAAAGGGTAAAAATGCTGTGCAGCAGCTGTGACAGGAGTGAGAAAAACATGAGAGAAACAGCCCCGCCGACACCAAGGTGGGTGAAGAAATGGAAGGAGGTGCTCCAAGTGCCAGAGCAGAGATTCCATGCAGCCTGTGGAAAAGACCACGGTGAAGCACGTTGTTCCCCTGCAGCCCATGGAGGACCACATCAGAGCAGATATACACACTGCAGCCTGTGGCGGACCCCCTCCTGGAGCAGGCCCACACTCCCAGCAGGAACTGCGGCCAGTGGAGAGGAGCCCATGCAGGAGCAGGTTTTCTGACAGAACTGTGGCCCATGGGGGACCTGCGCTGGAGCAGTCTGTTCCTGAAGGACTGTACCCCATGGAAAGGGCCTGCACTGGAGCAGTTCGTGAAGGACTGTAGCCCATGGAACAGACCCAAGCTGGAGCAGGGGAAAAATGTGAAGAGAAGGGAGCAGCAGAGATGCAGTGTTATGAACTGACTGCAACCCCCATTCCCCATCCCCTTGCACTGCTCAGTAGGGAGGATGTAGAAGAGTCAGGAACAAAGGAGTGAAGTTAAGCCTGGGAAGAATGGGGTGGGGAGAGAAGGTGTTCTTAGTTTTGTCTTTGTTTCTCACTATTCTACTCTATTATTTTTTTTTAATTGGCAACAAATTAATTTTCCCCAAGCTGAGTCTGGTTTGCCGATGACAGTAATTGGTAAGCCATCAGCCTGTTCTTATCTTGACCTGCAAGCTTTTTCATCATTTTCTCCCCCTGTCTTGCTGAGGAGGGGGAGTGAGAGCAGCTTGGTGGGCACCTGGCAGCCAGCCAAGGTTAATCCATCACACCTGTTTTGGAGGCAAAGGTAATCTTCAGTGTCATTCTCGGAAACTTTCTCTAGGAAGACGTCTTGGAAGAGTTCGGGAATTTAGAGACCTTGAAAAACCTGACAGGTTTTAACCTCTAAATTGTATTTCTTACAACTCCATTTAAGCATCAAAATTTCTATCAGGATGTATACCAGAACCATGGCTATCTAAACATTTGGAAACTATACTAGCATAGTTAACAACATGATTACAAAGTCTGTTTAGATACAGTGTACATGAAAAGCAAGAATGAAAAGCACAAAAATAAATAAACTTTTAACTTATTTAATGACAAAAACTACAAAATATTTTTCTTTAGAAGTTCATAAAGTAATAGATTTCACATGAATGGGCCCTCAAAAGGCATGTCTTTACGACATGAATAATGTAAGAGCTAAGCAGGGCTAATCAAGCCAGAGACACACAATGCCAGTGTAGCTATTTAGTTTCCACTACAGAAATGTATATTTAGAACTAGTTGAGTAACTGTTTAACAGTCTGCTGTGCCATATATTTATTATTAAATACCCACTGATTTATATATTTGTCTTTTCCTGTATTTTTGTGCATTTATTGTTAACTTTAATTATTATTTGGAGTGTCGCCAACAGAAATAAAGACAACTCAGCCAGACCACCTCTGCTTTAGCTTTTTCTAGTTGCTTGAATGGTCATTAAACCACTTATAGCCAGAAATACATTTAGAATATATTATAAGATATTCCTACTTAAACTGGTATTTGGTTGATCCCAAACCAAGGGCATAATGTACTTTCCTAAAAGTGTTCCTCGAATTCTACGAAAAAAAAAAAAAAAAGAAAGAAAAAAAATCTCTCCACACTACACCAACCAAGAATTTCTCATGAGATTTGACATAGTTTTCTCCAATCTGTTGTATCTACGCAAAGAGAGCTTTGAAAAGGAGAATTGCAAAATTATGCATCCAATTCCAATGAACTCCCAGATTTAATCTGTAACATAAGAAGCCTCAAAATAAATAGAAAGAATGTAAATAATCAGCCAAACACGTTTACATGCAAAAACTGATATAAGCACATTTAACATCTTAGTTAAAATCTAGCTATCCTTCTTCTGAAGTGTACTTTTTGTTGCAAGTGTTGCAATATAAACACTGAATAGGCCACATTTGGCTGGTAATGGGTAGTATTATTCTAAATAACAAAGTTTCACAAAATTCTGCCTCTGACACCTACTGGAATTGATAAGAATTTGTCAGTTTAATAGAAATCGTATCAGATTTAAATACAAAAATGAATCATGCTCCAGCAATGATTTCACAATATTTTCCTTTTTGCTAGAAGAGACTGAACTGATTCTATCTAAGGGCATATTGGGGAGTTTTGTCCTTTGTCCCCAAGTTTATTTGTGATAAGATGTACCCAAACATCATACACATTTTATTCTAACTTCCTGCTTAACTTTCCAACTCCTATTAGTCAGCAGGTTGGCTCACAATCTACAGCTTCTACCTAGCACCTGGCTCCCCTCAGAGAATTTTCTCCAAGAGTCTCACTTCCTGGCCCATACATTCATAATTCCATCCATGAACTTAAAGCCAATTTAAAGATTCCACATTGTTACTTTCTTTTTCTTCTTACTGAAGAATTCCATAGCTTTTCTGCATGGAGGTATCTCCAGACTCAAATTATCTAGTTTTTTAGTTCTCTCCAGGGACATAACTTTCAGTCAACCCATAGTTCAGCAGACATCTGCCAGAGTAGCTGCCATCCCTTTTACCAGTTTGTCTATTGCTCTTCTTCTCCCAAATGCCATGCAATGAAACAGAGTTAACAGCTCTTGGTTCTCTGTTCCCTATACGGACAGATCCCAGTCTTAGAGAAAAATGAAACAAATAGACCTTCACCATGAAAGCCTTAATCATGTCTATATGCTCCATAATCTTGACCTTCCCTAAGATGACTGAGTATTGCCAATACATGATTATTAGTCTGTTTACTTGGCTAAGAAAAGGAACAGCAGTCAAAACATCTCACTTGAAGCAAGCAGGCTTAGCTATTTAACAGACTAATAAGAAACTCGCATAAAGACACAAATATTTTCCATATACCACTACAGAGATTTTAGCAATTTATGTCAAAGGAATAAACTACTCAGTGCAAATGAGGTGGATTCATGCAAAGTTTGTATTTAAAATATCCTCTAATAATTGAAGAAAAATGTTTATCGTTATTATTCTAAGCTGCTAAACTTAAAACACACACACACACACACACAGAGTTAATGGAACCCACAGGCTACTGATGTGGCAGTTTATCAAATGTAGCTGTAATGAAAGATAAATATTCCAGGCAATTCGCACTTCATGAAAGGATAAAAGTGTCAGTGTGTAGGTACCAGTTTTACTGCGGGCCATAATCAGCAAGTAAACGAAAGTGCAAATGTCTAAAAAGTTTATAGCCCTCTATGAAGGCCTCGTCTTGTCAGGTATTGATTTAGGTTTTCAGAGGACTTTGCCAGTGTTAAACAAAGTGAGTGTTTGTGAACTTAGAGGACATGTTTTACCTCTGCCAACAAAAGTTGCCTCAAGCTCAATGTGAATATGCTCCCATTGCTTTAATATAAGGAAATGGAAGAAACTGTTCCTTACACAACTATTTTCTTCTTAAATAGAGGGCAGTCCAGAGTGAATGTTTCATATTCTCCACCTTCTCCGCAAACATGGACTCCATATTTCTCAGAAAGCTAAAACAAAAGGGAAATCAAAATACATAAGTATTACATTAAAGCAGTCTATTAAATATATTTTGCTGAAAATTTCAGTGTGCACTTTCTAAAAGACTACCCATTACAAGGCTGAAAAAAACAAAATATCATACAGAGGGTTCTTGATTTCTTCGTATGTGTATTACAATGATCTAAAAATTACTGATGTGTTATATTTTAAGTAGAACTGGCACTGTAACATTCAGATAAACAAATGAATTCCTAGTCCATCTTCCTTGGTGGCCATGAAAGGTTGTTCAGACTCCCTTATTTGTCCATCTTTCTTTAGCATAGATAGTTCCTTTCTGTGAGAAACTTGGACTGTAAATCAACACAAGAAGTAGCACTTCACATAGAAGTATACAATGAACACAATTTTTGGCAACAGATTCAACAACTGCATTCTGTATTTTATAGATATCCATTCTTTCAAAAAATTCTGACAAATAGAACCAACAAGAGTTTTCTAAGTCAAAAGGAAAAAGCTAAAGCAAGATCTGAAGAAGTAGTAACATGTTGTTTCTTTTATAAATTGTACCAAATATGCTTTCTAAACCAATATATACATTCATGAATACTCCTGAAGCTCTGGATAAAACACATAACTACATAAACCAAAACATTCAAAATAAGAGACATGACTATCATAATTATTCCCTGTTCTATAAATAAGTAGCTGTAGAGCAGGAACCAAAGTTCTTTTGCTGGAGTAAGGAGCACACAACTGCTGAATAGTTCACTGTAATTCTGTATTAATGTACTGTACTGATAGGTAGCAATCAAGCACCTGTACCATGCCTGAGCATAGGGACACCCTCCCTTTTTCTGCAGGAGAAATTCATCTCCTCATCAGCAGATTATATCACCTTCTAAAGTGTCCCAGCACTAGCTGCTTCAAGCCAAGTCCTGTCCAGGTTTTTTCACATTAAGCAAGCATTAACATTCTGCTTCAAGTAGTTCACAAGAAGCTGAACTGCAGTCCTTAATTCCATTGCAAACACCAATGTTGTTATTGGGAATATTTATTTAACCCCCTTATGCTTTACCTTAGAGGAACAGATGCCCACCCATGATGCTTCTGCAGTCAAAGTAGCAATGCAGTTCCCCACAACATGTAGGAGATGGTTAGAAAAAGTCTGTCTGGGGGCTAGAAAAGAATTCCAAATCTGTCTATTTTTAGGCAAGCATGAGACTGGGTTATTTATACATTGTAGGTTCAATTTTTTATATGGTTACCAGAATATTTGTGTAGCAAGTCTATTTGATATATTCAGATGACTCTGTATTTTTATTGTTGAAGCTGAATGTATAGTTTGTGTCACTTTACAGTTCTCTTTCAAAGTTTTTTATTTTAAAACTTCAAAGAGTGTTTACAACTTCAGCCATCATCTTAGCTAAAAAAAAAAATAAATTCAAAATTAGGTGTGAAAGAAGAAAATCAAACACATGGAACTTGAATGTTTTCATAAAATTGAAGACCACATCTTAAATTTAAAATTCAGTCTGGTAAACAAAAGGTCTGAATCCTCTCCAGCCTTTATTCTGGAGAAAAGTATAAATGCTCTGAGAAAACAATACCTTGGTAATGCTCTATGTGACTGTTTAGTTGTCTGCTGGTGTAAAATCTAAATCTCTTTTGAAACATATATTAAATCATTTTTCAATGTCTTGTTATGAGAGGTATTTTTCATTTTTCCTTTCACATTTTCTTTTAAAGAAAAGAAGCAGAAGAAAACCTTTAATCAAGTGCTCATTAAAAAATTACACTCCTGACATAAAAGAGAACTCCATCTGTCAACAATGGCAACAAGGTTTCTATAGGACAAATACATCAAGAATAATTAATGTTGATGCAACAAGAATGGACAACCTACAAAACAGTTAGTCAAAACCTTTTATTCTTCCTCTTGTTGTAGCTTCCACTGCAAAAAACCCAAAACAAAACTATTAAAAAAATGAAAGAGAGAAAACCAGAAAAGATCTTTCTAACTGCAACCTTTCCACAGTGAATACAAGGAGTGACTGTTTACAAGTCACTTTCAAAATCATTAGCTCTGCTCGTAAACATCAGTGCCTAGAATAATTATTGGCAATTAATATTGAATACTCAAAAGATGGGAGACTATTTCCTATCTTTGTTGTGGGAAATCCTCATTTTCAATGTCACTGGCTTCAAGATCATTCTTGACACCAATTATACAAGGTGCTAAAGGATTTTCAGTTCCCACTAATGTCAACAGGAACTGAGGATATTCAGCAGCTGATAGAACAGATTCTTAATGTTCATTTAACAAAGCAATATTTTTTAAATGTCATCAATGACATCAGAACTTTGCCTTTTAGTCATTTAGAATATTAACATTTTTTGAAGACCAATTATTTTATTAAATTTATTAAATTGCACTTAACTAAAAATGCAAGTTCAATTCAAAATCCAAAAGAAATATATGATGAAAATCATCTTGTAGACTACACAAAATTAATCTTAAATACACAATGAGACACAAGGTACATAAACGATCAGCCCAAACATTACCCAAAGACCAGTCTCTTCCTACCTTGGGAATGAAACATAAGGATTAAAGCTGACTTTCTCATTTAGATTTAATAATCAAAGATATGAATTTGAGTGCTTTCTATTTCAAGTTAAGACTTTGTTCCCAGACAGAAATTACAACACTTAGTAAATTCTCTACAACTACAGAAATGCTCTTTCCATCAAGAAATACTCATCAACTTCTGGGGTAAGCATACAAATGACTAAACATTTTCTTATTGTCTATTAGCAGACACAAAAGTACAGACAAGTATAACCATACTATGCATTTACCATTCTATTAATAAATTCTAAGGAGAGTGTGAGCAGCCCCCAAGATTTGGCGAGATGCCAACAAATTCTTTAGTGTAAAAAGCTAGGGCTCCTGGTATATAGGAAACAGTGGGACATGAGAGCAATTTAATAATTTAGCAATTATGTAGGAACCATTCATCAATAATTAATCAAAGACCTATCATTTAGAAAAAAGCAATAATTCAAGAACTTTCTTTGCCACAATGCCAATGTCCTGAGCCAGTAAAATTCACCCCTGATAAAAGCATGGGTTGCAGATCATCATCGTACTCATAAGTTCAACCTTCTGTATGTAAAGTCAGAAAAAAAATTGGAAAATTATATCAAAGGTTTTCCTACTCAATACTCCTCCACTCTTCCGCTGCCACAGCAGCAAAAACACCTCACCTTTATGTCAGTAATTATTATAATTTCTATTGTACACATAAACTAAAGTAAATCAGAAGACTGAAAATTTAGGCGACAATATATTTTTCCAAAGTTAAATAATTCAGTGGATGAAATCAGGGGTGGGTTGTGGGTTTGTTTGTTTGCTGTTCTTTTTTTTTTTCCAATTAACATTGGCACGCCTCTTATAATGCCTCAACAAGAGATTTTTGCTAAAACCAAAATGATTACTTCATGCGTATTTCTTGTATATCCAAAAGAAATTATAATAGGCATGTTACAGTAATACAAGGTGATTTGGATTTTACTGCCTGTTCCTTACAGTAAACTTATAGTATAAAAGAAGTGAGTGAAGTCCTAATTCCTGATCTGTAGTATCAGAGAAATTGAACTTTGTGAATACACGCTAAAATGTAAAGCAGGATATTCCCTACCAATCCCATATGACTCAACATGTCATACATGTTGTGGTTCAATATCAAAGACCCTCTTATATTCAACATTGGCATTTCACTGAACTTATGAAGATATAAACTGGTTTTCAACAAAACTGAAGAACACATAGAACACTATTTAATTCATTTTAAACAGAACTGCAAAAATTCTCACAAACTTGCACACCACACCAGGGAAAATGGTGTACCTGTACCTAGCTGAATAAATAACTATGTAAAGTAACATTAGATGCCAGCAGACAACCCAAAAGAGAATCCCACAAGAACAGCAAAAAAAGCATAAATCAGCAAAAAACAACAAGAACAACAAATTCCAAGGAATTCGTTGTGAAATTTGAAATTACTGGTTAGATAATACAACACAAATCAAAGATACAAAAGTATATAAAGCTGTGGTAGTTTTGGAGATGTACAATGTTAAATATTAATTTATTATCGTGTTTGCTTTGGTATGGTCAGAATATTAAATTTTATCTCTCCTCTTTACTGAAAACTGTGAACTCCTTGCTCTCACATTCTGTCTACCAGAACTTCTGATGCTGAAGACTTCATTGGTTTGCAAAAGAGTATTTTTCACATCATAAACCTAAGCATTTCTCTTCAGTTTATAGTTAATGATTTGGTTTTACGAGGCCTTAAAGTGAAATAAGTATCCAGTAAAAACAATTTATTTGTACTGACTTCGACTTTCACAGCATGCATATGCACAAGAAACAGATACATGAACAAATAATCGGTTGTGCAGTCTCCCCTACAGTGGCCTGACAACCCATTCCAAGTAGGGTCAGAATGCCCTACTAGTTCTACACCTTAAGCTATGCAGCCATTGCTCTGTTTATTGTTGTATCAATAAAAGATAACACCTGCAAACGTGAGTTTCAAGAAGTATTAGACCATGACAGTAAGAATTTCAGTGAAACCAAGTAAGTAAGAATCATTTCACTTGAGCCATCAAACATCAGGAAGAATACATTTAATTCCCCCAAATACCAGGTACTTTTGGATTTCTTGTTTATTGTTTTCTTTTTAAAATGAACGATGATGAAATCAAATGGAGAAGAATACTTCTTAAGCCTTATTTTAATTATATCCTCTTAACATAGCTAAGATCGCAATACTGGCTGCTACAGTTTTAAAGGAAGTCAAGACAACTGATTCAACCGAGGTGAATAGCTACCCATCCACAGCCCCACTGAAGCTGCAACCTGAATTTTGATGACAGAAGCTTTCTGCAAACGCAGGGGTTGTACTTTCCCCTTTTGGCTTATTTAACTAGTCCCACATAAATATCAATTCATCTAAATATGACTGACCAATATGGAATTGATATTACAGTAAAGTTGATGCTTCTGTTAAATCTATTGTACAGTAAATTGTTCATTGTTTCATGATTAGAGTTTTATCCTTCCTTAGCTGTGACTTACCAAGATTCTACAGAAACAGCTCTGACAAACAGAAACATTGCTTAAGTGCTTTGCAGCAACAAACTGGCACTTAAATGTTTATCACACTCTTAAACTATGTATTATTTACACGTGACTCCAAAGATCTTCCAAACAACCTTTCTGGGAATTTATCAATCAGTAGCCATTTCTACAGTACATGCAGAACGTGACTTCACATGTCAGTAAAACTGCTTTTCCACAATAATGTTATTCTTGCACTATACAGCATGCCAGTGTCAGAGCAGACCTATGGCACAAACATAGAGTGCAACGAAAACTTCGGTCTGGCATGTTCATGCAGTGCAATGCCAACTTAGCAGTCAAGCTCCTGGAAGCAGTCTAACCATGTTCACAAGTGGTGAACTGAACTGAAACTTACGGACTCTGATTCTCAGTGGCTTACTAGCTGAGCCAAACAGCCATGTTAATACAGCTTCCAATTCAAAGTTAGCTCAGTGTTCCATTAGATTATATTACCTAATCCAAAAGCTCACTGATGCTTGCAGTGGTGACTCCATTCTCTCTTCCTTCCTTTTCCTGTAGAAATCCAATCTATACTTTTCAGACAGGATAAATTTACTCCCTCTTCTAACTATTCTTGGATCTTACCGATATTCCTAGATTTAGCAACTATTTACTGTTTTAAGTCTACCTTTATTATCACCCCATGAAATAAAACATCCGCTAATGACACAATACAAACAAATATTTTATATATAGCCAATGTATACTTATTTTTCTGTACTCCTACTGTATATCTCCACCACTGTTTTTTTTACCTGTACTACAAATATTTAAGAAGATATTTATTTCCCTACTTCCCTTCCTTCTTTTTTCTGGAGCAGGAGAAAACACCTCTCCTTCCCACTCCCTGGTATTCTTGAATCATTGCTGTAGTTGAGATTATCTAAAAATATAAGTGAAGGAAGACTTACAAAAAGAGATCATGAAGGGGATTTTTACATCAACTAGTTTATATGGAGGTGGTGGTGGGGTAGGATTCTGGGCAGATTCTCCAGCTCTGAAGCAGAAGCAACAAAATTCAGGCTAAGAACAGGCCAACAACAATCTCTTCAAGACTATTTGAATGGTATGGACGTTCGTTCTTCCTCTTCAGCTTTGCCAAGTATCAATTATCTATCGTCTTCTCTCCAGCCATGTAGACGACTAACAAAATGAAGTTAAACTCAAGATATAACTCCTATTTAACTTCTCTATCCTTCAGCAGCAAAAGAGATTTTTAAAGTTCCTAACAAATTTTGGTTACTTTTTCTTTCTCTTCTGCAAGTTTGCCATGCCCTTAATTGTTACAGAAAAACTGCTTATGAAGCCAGGCTGAACAGTAACTACCCAGATTAACAACAAAAAGTATTTTTAGGAGATAGTTCTGCGCAAATTTAGACAGCTTACACCGATAAAAGTTACAGCAAGGCTCTCTTAACAGCCAAACATGCAAATAATCATGGGTTTTTAACAGGCTTGAGGACAAGGAACTGTGGTAAATTGGCTTTGTCACAGACAATATATGTAAGCACACTTTCAGAGCTATTATTCTTAAACCGTACTTAGCCTGATGTTTGATGCTTCTACCTCAAACTGAAGGAAGACTTGTGTACAAAATCCCATCTTTTTTCTTTTTTCCCTAGTTTATTTTTCTTCAAATAAATCTATTAGCTCTGCCTACAAGCATTTTCCTGCTTTTAGGACTACATAACCCTTTGTACAGAATTAAGTACATCCTCTGGAATAAACCTCTTATTCCATTTTTGAAAGGCCCTACTGTATGCAGTCTGACTGTGTAAAATATGGTAGGAAACCTTCGGATGGAGATATCTGTGGGGAAGTTTTGTATCACCTATGATTTTGCCACTACCGTTCCTTGCTGTAAAAGTCTCTAACTTGCATGCAATTATTTAGCTGTATCATGTTGACATACGAGTTAGTGTTCCCTTAATATTCGAGGTTTCTTGCTTTTAGTTTGTTTTAAAGACACTGGCACTGTTTGTGAACTACCTCCAGAAAGAATGTTTTTCATCTTGAAAGTGCATATCAGAGGCTTATGTTCTATGTACAAAGATAAGCTTTGGGTTAGTATTGTATATAAAGTAACTAAGTAATTTTTGATTAAGTTAATTTTACTGAATTTCTGCTTGTATTACTTTTTAATTGAAACTTTACCTGTATGAGTGTCCTTTAAGTAATACCCACCTCCAAAAGATAAGGCTCCATTTGATCCAAAGTTTTTCCTAGATGCTTATCTGGATCTAAACCTGAAAAAAAAAAAAAAAGTCCAAAAACATTTTTTATAAAGTACTGTTATGACATCAAGAAAGGCTCCTTTTTTTTTTTTTTTTTTTTTAAATATAGCATGTCTCCCTTAGAAACTAGTCCCACTGTATCTAAAATAATTTCTATTCTCAAGAAAACACACTTAGTCAGAATTTTCTCTTATCCCCTCTGGGCAACTGGTTTCCATGTTTATGGAAAAATAAGGCCAATTACCTTTTCACTGTGTGTCAACTGGAAAAGCTGTTGTTTTCCTTTCTCAGAAATTTCACTAAACAATGAAGTAAACATGCAGGTTCATGGTAATGAAAATACTACACAGAAATTACCTCTGAGTCACAAGTTACCTTTGTAGATACCTATTAAATTAAAATTCAGGTTAATTTTTTTATAGTTCCTGCAAATTACTGGAAGGGACACAGACAGCTTTCCACAATAAAAACTTCTTTGCTAAATCATATTCTGCATGTATGTGACCCACAGAAAAAAAGGCAAGAATTTAAAAGGAGGGAGATATAAAGAAAACTCAGACTTACAGATGTCTTGAATGTTGTACCTTCTGATCCATCACAAAATATTCTGTATGATGTCTACATTTTGATTTATTTTTCTTGGTAAAAAAGTAAGCCCTATTAACATTTGATAATTCCTTTAACTTGCCCCTCTGTGTTCCTGTTTCAGCTTTTTGACTTTATGAGTTTTGCCAGCTCATGGCTGTTAAATGGTCACTTCTCAGGAATAAATCAAATAATTGGCAGAAATCAGTACTGGGATAAAAAAAAAATCCAGGAACAACTGTTTCAAGACATCTTCTTCAACCAAATAAATATCCTAGTTGGACTTGAGACTAAGTGGTCAAAAGGTCTTAACATACGAAGTAAATAAGAAAAAACCAAGTGATGACTTCTGAAAGTGAAGGAACACTTGAAAATTTTCAGTGATCGCATTTTTTACTACTCTTCATTATTGTGGTTTGGGGTTTTTTTGTACTGATAACAATACTTGTCTATTTTTTTCCTACTCTACTGTTTTACACTATAATGGGTATCATTAAAGAGCTGCCACCAGAATGACTCCATTTAGAAGCAATTTCTGAAGTATGTACCTTGCAAAGCACTTTAGATCTTTGATGATGAAAGCTGTTATATAAATGTATGGTATCCTATTATATAAAGTTGTTGCTGAGTTCAAATAGATGATATGCCTTTTAATTTTTACAATGATGGTCTTGGTATATTTAAATTCCCGTGAAACTAAAACAAGTTAGAGTCAATGAGATCTCAAAACATTAATAAAGTTTTTAAATATGTCATTAAAGCACATTAAAAAATCCCTACCTAGGGGAGCACTTGAAAAACTGCTTAATAATTAAAAGTGAGAGAGGACTGAGGTTTTTTCCTGCCCCCTATTCTTTTTTGGTATTGGTTTATTGCTCTTTATTAACAGACTAAAAATGTGTGTTGCTAGTTATAAGATAATGATAATTTATGCTTGTGGAAATAATTTTGAAATATCTTCATTTCATTTCAATGGTTCCAATGATTCTGGAGATGTCTTCCAACTTACACTAGCTTAGCATAATGTCTTTGATTTTAATGGGATAGGTATTAGACTAAACAAGCATTTTCTTTTAAAATAAACAAATAATAATAAGTACCATATTACAGTACTCCTTTCACACATTTACATTAACATTCTTCATTAACATAATTACTTTTCTAAGAAAAGCAAACCCTCTCCTTGATAAAAACAAATTGGTTTCCTTAAACTTTAAACCAAGGGACACATTACAAATGGGTGAGAAGGGAAAAAGTTGACAGTATGAGACACACTAACATATTGTTTCTTTCATAACTTCTCTCTAGTATGAAAAAGGATATACCTACTGTTCTACCCCCTAATGAACATAAAATGATAATTTAAAAGAAACTATTATACAAATAGTATACAAAATACAAACAAATTGCCTATGGGTAAACTCTTTAGTAATATCCCACACCTACATGAAAATCTGTTGAAGTGCAATGCACTCTTTCTTTCAGAATTCTATTTTTGGATAGCTTGTCTTTCTTTTGAAAAATATTATTTCCTTTAGTTTCCAATAGGTTTGTATTCTGAGAGAATAAAGATCGTCTGCTAAAGGCATCAAGAACCAATGCAACCTGTAATTTGCAGAACCAGTAATCCACACCTCAAATCTCTAAGGGTATGCATGTATAGATGAAGCTGTATGTCTACTGCTACTATCACTATAATAAAGTACCTAAAACCATACTTACAAAACAGTTAATATAAGTATATACTTCTATTTGGTATGTTTTTCTTTAAACAAAGGAGTAGGTTGATTCAGATTCTTAAAATTACTTAGACTAAAAAGAAAAACAACGTCTTGTAAATCCTTAGTACATTCCATTTAACCACATTCTCCCGATTTTTCCTCCATGAAACTAGATGTGAAGAAAGCTGGATGGGTGGATAAACCAACAACAAGGTACAGGAATGTAGAATTAAGAAATTAATTAGGAAGGGAACTATAATTTGCAGCACTGACATCTATTTTACTTAACTTGCATGTATCAATGGGAAGCAATTACAATTCAATTAAAATATTCACTTTTATTACTTTACTGACTGACCTTGAAGTTAATGCCTGTTTTATTTAATTGCATCATCCATGAATAAATGTTAACCCTAGAATGTTATGCCCCATTATTTTCAATGCATTTTTAACTCCCCAACTGAACTACATCAGTCAATTTATTATGTGCTGTCAAGAGAGCAAGTGGGGCTTTATTTCTTTGAGATAGACCAGTACGTGATGACAGAAACATCTCGAAAGATTTGATAATGCTGTTTTTAACAGTGCTCAGTAAAACAAATTGTGCTCTCATCTCCAGTTTTGTGGCCTAGTTTTACTGTAAAATCAGTATGTGATAGCACAAATGGTATAATCACTTCAAAGTAATTTCTACTCCATCTGTAATTTCTGATAAATCCACTGACAGGAGCAGAACTCCTTCTGCAGATATCAACAATGGTTGCAGAGCCCTTTTACGCACAGCCACAAGACAAGTGCTGTAGAGAACTGCAGCAATGTCAAAAGACTGGGGCAGAAATTCAGGGCTTTGTTCTGTAGTGAAAAAAACGTACCAAAGAACATTACTAAAAGGCATTTCACTAGTGTTAAGCTATGCAAAAGAACCGTATTTTAAATGGTTCACTTTGTACACATGTATTAGTGTAGCATAAAGCCTCAGGTGAGGGGTAGCTACCTGATATTAGTTGCATTTATCAAGATCATTAGAAAATCAAGTTCCATTTTCATGACATTACATTCAGCTAATAAAATCCACATTCTAAAGCCTCATCTTACTAACAAGAACATGTTTTATACATGTTCAGAATTTTAAAATAGTCTTGATTTTTAAGGAAGTCTTTTAATATAAAAAATTGTATTTTCACCTCTTAGTAAAATGCTGACTAAAAATATTAATTTCATTCAAAATAATAAAATTATTTAATAAAGTTTTAAATCAATAATTATAAATTAATAAATTATTTTTTCTAATTAATAATTAGAAATTATAAATTAATAATTTTTTGTTTTAAGAAATGGTGGTACACAAAGTTCTTCTGAAAACTACACTGAACCAAACTCTAACCCTTAATACCTGAACACATTGTGAAAGAATCGCTACCACACATACATATCAATAAAATATGAGCTAACCATTGTCTGTTGATAATATAGGGAAAAACCTCTGTCCTTTTCTGACTAACCAACCTTACCATTCAAAAAGTACATCTTATTCCTTTTTGACTTCTTCCATAAAATAAACTGAAAAAAAATATCCCAAATCACTATCTATTATCAATCTTCTTGAAATTTCATATACATAGAATTAGCACAGACTTTTGGAGAAAAAATTGGAACTTGTTTTAAAGTTACAGCAACTTAAAGTTCCCTTCTTTTTCCTGACTTCTTGAGAAGTATTGTTGACAAGATTAGTAACTGCCATCATCATGAATGTCAAGGACCGAGACTTCTGCTGATGCAGGGCAGCGTAATGCACAATAAGTTTTCTGGAAAGATCCTAATTAGCTGCTCACCAAAAGCAGAATTATTTAGAACTCGAAATAAGAAAAGAGGCAATGAAAGGCTTAAGTTTTCTGGAACCAAAACTAGTCTTTCTCTCTCTCTTCAACTTCTTTTTCAGGAAGAAAACAGGGTTAACAAGGAGGTGATGAGACCTTTCAGATACAGAACTATGGAGAGAAAGCAAAAGAGTATAAAGGATAGATGCAAACACCCATCTTAGAATTGGAACAGAGAAAGTAGGACCATTTTTGAAGGGAAAATCCTCTACTTTAAACGTGTTTTTTTTTTTCTTTCTAAGTAAACAAAACAAAATCACTGATTTTCATGAAGCAGGATCAAGCACTATTCTTTAAACGATACAGAATCAAAGAGTATGTTTCTAATAGCACAGGAAAAGCCCATACACAAAAGTATTAGTTGGTAAGGCAGGTTTACTTTGCAAGAGTGCAGGAATGTTCACGATGTAGGACTTCACCTGCCACAGAGATATTAATGCACTGTAAACCTATACCTTAAATTACTTTGAGGTAAATTATTCCTGGTGTCATATTTAGCTTTCATTTCTATGAAGAGTTGGGAAGTGAACTTTTTGTCTGGTAGCATAACTTGACAGGTTCATAGTTGATTCTTAGCTTCCTCATAATTTTCACACATGAAAGGTTTTATAACAATGGTGAACTGGATGGATTACTTGAATTTCCTTTTCTAAAACATCAAAAAAATTGTAAAAGCCGCTTAATTTTCGTATAAAAATGAAGGGAAGGAAAATGCAATAAATACTGGGTATTACTCCACCTCTAAAAGATTTGAGGTGAATATAGTTCTAATTTGTTGTATAAAAGAGCAAAATTCATGCAACTTGATTATGTGCCTACTTCTTTTTTT